AACAACTTTCCCAGAGAGCACTCTTTCTACTCCAACTATGCTCACCAACTATGCTTCCCATAGGAGGGAAAACAAGGTTTTTGGTCAGTATAATTTTAAATAATCGATTTTATAGAGGGTGAAGAGCCGCAATGAGGATGAAGCCTTTTGATGTTTTCATTTTTCAAATGTTTTCATTTGTTTTCTTCTCTCCCTCACTATTTTTTTTTTTTTTTTTTCAAATTAAAAAAAAAAAAACACACCAAAAGTAGCCTTTTGCACTAATTTAGACAGGAAAAAATCCACCGATGTCCAATAAAAAACTGATTTGTCTATATACTAAAACAGCCTGCTAGATACATTACTTGCAACTCGAGCCAAAAGGAAGATATAAAATGACTTCAGCTTGATAAATGGTGTAAATGCATTCCAGCTATCTGCAGCAAAGATCTCTGACCTAATGCACATCATTCTCAAACCAGAAACACACCCCAGAGACCAGCAAACACTTACTGTAATTATTTACTGTCTTCTCAAAAGACCCATTGCAATTTATATACAGTAAAACTACAGTTATTGTATGTGGAAAAACCACAAAAAAACACGCTGTTGTAGCCTGAGCTATTTTGTCATGGCAACACCATCACTCAACCTGATATAAAAGCTGAATTGTCGGGATCCTGCTTTAATATGAAATGGTAATGGAGCTGTAAGTCAGAGATCCATCAGATCTCCTTCTGAAAAGAGAACAGAAACAAAAATAAACACTAAGGAGATTTAGCAACTGGTCCCTTTTCCAAACACGGCTTCTGAAGACATCCATTAAAGAAAAGATTCTGAATTTGATCAGACAACACGATTCCGTGATTCCATGCTCACAGCTTGCTGAGGGTCAGGCTGGAAAGGAGGGTTTAGAAGCGATAGTTCTAAAAGGTCATGATCAAGTCTTGCACAAATCGAACACACGAAGCTTGTAGCAACAGTGAAGATCTGAACTGCAAGAGGGCTCAAGGGAAAGCAGAATTCAGTAAAATCTAATCCACACCTGCCCAGTTCAAACCAGAAGATGCTGACTTATCTGAGCTAACTTCTGATTCCAGGCACATCGTGCAATAGGATGACAGCTCTGCACAGTGAACCTAGAAGTACACTATTTATCAAGGTTAGCTCCCTGAGTAAGGCAGGAGCTACAAAGTTCCAGCTACTCTTACCAGGGATTACCTGATGAAGCTACCTGGACATAACCAAATATACACAGTGCACAAACACTAAAATCAAAGAATCACGTGATTTTGTTTTTAAAAAGAGATGGACAATATTGATGTATAAAAATATAATTTAAAGTTAATATGATAAACAATGAGTTTGCATAGGCGGTCAGCATCCAGTAATTTTGACATTAAAATTGCTTTTCTATACACACATGCACAGAACAATACGTGTTTCCCACTTGGCCTGGTAGGGTGCGTGCGTGCTTTCTTGCTTCTAAGTTCCCTTTAAAAACAAGTCAAAGAGACGCTGAATATTTGCTGACACTTTTCCAGTTATCAAAATCCCAGTTACTTATTTGACTTCTTACAGTGATAGGTACACCATATTAGTTATTTATCTCATAATAAACTAGGAAACTCACTATTCAAACACACACACACACACACACACACACACACACAACTATGTTTATTAACTTCATAAACAAATTTGATGCTTTATTTTAATATCAGAAAATAATAACCTGATGATCAAAGCCTCTTTATAGAACTGTTGCATTACATACTTTGGTTTTCAATACTTCTTTGCCACATTTAATCACTTCTATAATTGTAATTCTTGCTTTTTCCCCCTCAATGGCTCAATATGAGTAAACAGTATCTAAAGCTATACAATTTTTTCTCCATTTCTGGAAATATCAAAAGTGCCTTTCCATTATTCAGATTTCTCATTAAAAACACCTGCAATTTGAGTTATTAGATACTGAATTATTTATCCTAGATAAAACAATTAAGAAACTTAAAACCTAGGAAGTCAAAGCAACAGAGCAACGTCAGGCACTTCCACTAGAGAGTTCAACAAAGGGTTCATTCACCAGCTACCTTAAAACTCTTATCTAAGCTAGAGCAAATAAAATCTACAAGTCTCAGAGCCACGCTTTCTTGAATAAAAGGCTTAAAAGTTTATGAGAAATTAATTTTGTGAGATGTCTCATATTCCATCTATGGTTTATCCCCATACGTAAACACACTTTTCTGCCTTCTCATGTCCACTAATTGTGACAACAAAGCCTAGGCAACACTGTAAAAGATGGAAGGATATCGTGTATGTTGGAACTCTGGGACAAAGTTGTAGAAAAATACCAAAGGTACCCGAAGTGCAGAGATTAATTTAGAAGCCTTCTACGTCAGTATCTACTTCCTTACTCAAATTTTATTAGCTATCATAAAGACAACATCTCAGTGACAATGCACAGTGACCTCAGTGTACTCCAGTGACAAATGAAGAAACGAACAGTGCCAAATGGACAGCTGTCCTAAACTACATGAAGCGTGTGCTTGCAGAAGAAAAGAGTATCCAGACAGATTTCTACCCCAGTCTTTCAAGCGTATCACTGACAGGAAAACAGCGATCTGTAATTCTATTTCCAGCAGCAACAAGACTGAAGATACTCCGTTGATACAAAACTGCATGAAGGTAGATTTAAACTAGACATTAGGAAGAAGTTCTTTATTGTGGGGATGGTGGCACACTGAAACCTGTTGCCCAGAGAGGCTGTGGATGCCCCCTCCCAGGAGGCATTTCAGGCCAGGCTGGATGGAGCTGTGAGCAGCCTGGTCTAGAGGGAGGCGTCCCTGCCTGTAGCAGGGGGTGGAACTCGATCGTCTCCATTCCAACTCAAATCATTCTATGATCCTAGCTGTATAGTTCCCACAATGTCCAAGTATATACACATATGTACATCTGTCCAAAACCCATTCCAGTAAGTAGCAAATCACTCATTCTTTTTTCATGAACGAAAAACATACAATCCAACTGCATTTGGAATCAACCATTCAATTTACTAAGATCTATTTTACTTAAAGGTATTCGTTATATTTGAACTCTTGTATCTTCAAAAGAAAAAGCAGATTTCTACTCACAAACACTGCAACAGCAATCCATCCTAAACACTATTAAAGGGCAACAAGACTTTGAACGAACAGCAGTGAACAAAGGCAAGTGTTGCAAAAGCATCCATTGGGAAGCATTACAGAATACAGCACTCATATTAATAATCGTATTTTACGCATTTTTATTACAATCTTTTAAATTGTAATTCAATTGCAAAATTACTCTTGCTTTTAAAGACTATAATGTATCATGATTATACAATCTAATAAAAAATACACTCTGGTATTGGAAAAGGTGAATTACTTTCACATAGATTTTTTTGTGCAAAACTCCCTAAGACAGAACAATACAAGTGATCAACAACCAACTTCCCTTTGAAACGACATGACCAAGAAGTTTTTCAACCCTATAATAGTCATATTACTCACAGATGAAGTTGCAGCATGCTCAATAGGAATTCATATTAGTGGATATGTGTAAGCTCTAATTCTTTTTTTGTTGTTTTATTTTAAACTTTAAAGCATCACCATCACTTCAAGAAATCTCCATGAAGCAAGTTTTTTATGAAATATATACAACCAGCATCTTCTGGAGAGCTGATAATGGTATCTACAAGTATGTACCAGCTCATGCTTTACACTCAAAATTAGTTTAAATATAGAGAATTTTAGAAATAAGCAAAGACCATTAGGAAATAAAACTAAATTATTCATTCTTAGCAAATCCATTAGGCAAATATTTTCCAGTGCACTTAAAAAGTAGGAAAAAGTTTAATTATTCAAAAATCCAAATTTTGAGACCAAAGAACAGCTTTAGCTTGTAATTTTTTCATTTATTCTCTCCACAAGAATGTGGTTCACTTGCATGTACAGTAACTTTCTCAAGTTCTGACACCAAAAAAGTTCATTAGAGAAATTCTCCAAATCTGAGCCAGTACCTGTCACTGCACAGTGCTGCTCAACTTGTCTGCTTTCAAACTTTTAGCAAAGAGACATGCTTTAAGTATTCAACTGATTTCAAAAATCATCTTCATCATCACCACGTTTTACATTTCCACAGAGAAAAAGTGTACCATATTGCCTCAATGGTTTGCTCACGTTCTGAAGGTATTAGAATGCATCCACATGGACGCAGCAATTTTTCAGCCACCCTACAGTAGCTTTTCAATGTCAATAGCCAAATCCTAGACCTTACAAACATGTTTCATAAACAAATGAGCCTAAAACAGAAGTTTTAAAATGTAACTCATTCTTCAGAAAAACAGATTGGATCATAAGCTGGCTTCTTAAATCCTGGCAAAATTTATTTCAAACAGCTTTTGACTACTGCTTTCAAAAGGTAGATTATCCTTCTCTTGCTAGTAACAGTGCAGGCACCTCCTCATCCATCTGATTTCTATACACTCTTCCTTTTCCTCTAACAGGTGACTGTATTAACATTTCCCTTTTCCCTTCAAAAAACAATGGTGCAAAGCTTACATTTGTCTCCTCTCTGTTTAGGCTGATACTGCTGCCATCAAAACATCTAACACAGGTGTTTGGTTTTCTTGTTTTATTTCAGTAAGATGAGAAAAATATTTAGAAAAAAAAATAAAAACAACCTGCACTATGTCAACATGTTTTTTAGGTAACAAAAGTATGCAGCCTTCTCGTGGACATCTAGACTATAAGCTGCCGCTTTTCACAATTTCTATAACTATACACAGAGAGTTGAGAATAATTCTTCTTGAAATCCCTTTCGTATTTACGACCTACCAAACTACCAGTACATGCAAAGAAAACACAGCACCCTAAAAACCTTTACAACCTAGCAGTTTTAATACCATGAAACCTCTCACCACAGCCAAAACACAAACAATGCAAATCCATGTAAGGATAAGGAACATTCAATAGAAATATAAATTGGATTATACTTACAATCTGGTTAACTTCTGTGTGTTCTGAAAAAGGAGCTCTGGAAGAACTTGCAATTTGTTCTTGTTCAGACGCCTGAAATGTTAGAATCAGAACAAAAATTACATTGCCGTCTCATTTTAAAAGCTTATTCTATTATGCATAAACACAAGAAGCCCCTATTGTATTAAAGCTTATGTTATAAATTCAACACGGAATGCTTTAGGTACGTTAATCATAGATGAGCTAAACAGACCATGCCATCTGTAGACCACCTGCCTACATTCTTGAGATAGGGAGTCAAGTGACAGTCACCAGAAAGTTTGAATGTTTTAATATGGATGAGTACACTTGTATTTATCTTCAGTTTTGCTCTGGACGTCTTCCAGTAGTGAAACGTATGGCTCCCATATTCAGCTTGCAGTGCTCTGAGGAATAATTAGCAGGAGTTATCTGGATTTCTTGTTTGCTTTATAAACATCACAGCACAGTAATTTAAATAACGTGAACAAACGAGTTCATTTCCAGATTAGCTAGTATTTCTCCAGTATGCGCACACAACAATTTTATTCATTCAGAAATTTCTTAAATCTCCACTTTGAAAATACGAGCAGTGTTGAAGAACATATGAAAACACAGAGGACCAGACAAACGCTTGGAGTTTTGAATTACTACCTTTAAGCTGTTCTCTGAATCATTTCTGTAAGAACTAAAGTGTTCATATGCTAGCCCATTTCATTTCGAAAAAAAAATTTATGCTGACGAGCAGATATTATCAATTTTGAAGAAATCTGCCACATTACAAGTTCTTCCAGCTCGGTAGCTACAAAGAAAAGAAAAACCACCGAACCAACACACTCAAACTTTCTCTCCTTGGTAAAAATAAAACAGCCTTGTAATACCTAGAAGAAGTTTCATTGGCAATAGTTTCTTTTTTTTCCTCTCAGTATTTTTTTTCCATTGACAACAAAAACAACTACTTGCTTTCACAGTTCTAATGAATATTATTTGCATATTGAAGTGGGCATAATAATTTCATACAGCTACACCACTCTAAACAGGGAGATGGCTCGTCCACGTGCCTTTGTATTACTGTCTTCTTCCCTCTCCTCTTCCCAATCTAACTTAAATTTCACCTTGATAACAGATGTCTGTTTGCTAGAATTTTGATCACGGAAGATAACTGGAACTTTCAGAACCTACTGATACTTAGCATTCAATATCTGGTGTCCAGTTTCCTTGCAGAGTTATTTCGCTCTCAGAAGTCAAAATTCTTTTTGAATTGAAAGGCCTTCCTCAGAGATCACTCTAACCTTGTGGAATTAGAAGCACAGTCTTCATATGGCTACCATATGAACAAGTCTTGCAAGAGAAAGCGGCAGCAAGGGAAAGGGGAATTATTTACTCCTCTTTCTAACACCTATGACAGATCAAAGACTGGATACACAAGCTTGCTCACAAAGCCTAAACATGTATGCATTAGACATACATGCTGACGTAAGCAGATACAGAAATTGGTTATTTCACATCACTTTTACCAAGTAAGCAATTTAATTTCTAACAAATCAGTAAATGAAACACTAAACATAAACAAAGGAAACACGAAGCACTCGTTTGTATTTGGGAAAGTATATATAGGAGTTTTCTAACTGGATTGTTTTAGCAGTGTGAAATTTCACACTTCTATATTGAATCAAGCTTGCCTTCTCTTTGAAGCTGAGAGTGTGCAACTTCACCCTCAGTAAATTCACATTTTCAGTTAAATATATATATATATTTTATAGAGAAAAAAGTCTTAGAACACAATGAAAAAAATTTGTGAGAATACAGCTTCACATTACAACTTGCTGTTCAAGGGCAGAAAACATTTCACATTGGTCTAAACATGCTGTAAAATTTTAATGCAGTACTGTTAGAAATGAAGAGTTGATTTTTTTCATACTGCAGCAGTAAGCAAACCAAAGCCTCCTGTCAAAGGCCAGCATCATTAAGTCGTTGTAAGTTTGCCTCAACTCACGCATAAGCTTGATTTTCAAAACAACTTATCCCCACATTAGTGCTCCTCTGTGTGATAAGCTCGTGATGCTGTCCTCAGCATACTGCAAGCATACAGTATTACATTATTACAGTCAAACTGGGCTTACAGCTGGTGAGTCACAGAGGTGTAAGTACTGATAACTATGAGAATCTGAGGTAAAAACAAACTGTTTTGGCTCAAGCTATGACGAGACTCCACAACCATTTCCATCACTTCCTAAGACTTGCTTCAGGTTGTAATTTCTGCCAGTTATTTTATTCGCAGATTGATCCTCAGGGGAACACGGCAGACTAACAGGGTATTGTTTCTCTTCAATACCACACACAGCATGTAAACAGATCATAATTCAATATTCACCAAAGACTAGATCAGCCCTTATAAACTTAGATATTTTATGCGCTTAATATAGTCACAATTACTATATACCAGTACACCACCAACAGCCTAGGAAAAAGCCTAATTACACTTACTTCTCTTCCCGGGACTGAGAGAAAGTTTGTTAAGGAAGTTCTTAATATAGAAGTATCAAACTACAGAATAAGATTCTTTTAAACCTCACAGAAGAAACAATGAAGCGTACAAAACCATTTTAACAAACAGAAAAAAAAACCTCTGCATGGTCATCAATAAGCCCTTTTTCCTTCGGTTCGATGGGAAGTGCCAAGCGTGAATGAAATGTAGTGGAACAGCTCCTCATGCATCATTTTATGGGAACTTAATTTTATCCTCATCTACCAGTAGATCCAATGACACAGAAATAAACATCAAGTGCAAAGTGAAGCAAGCACTAGTAAAGCCAGCACAGGGCAGGGCAAGCTCTAATGTAGCACTCTCAAGCAGAACTTCAATGCACTGGCTAAACGTGCTATAAGGAACCAATTTGGTAGCAGCATCTTCACACAGGAAAAAATTAAGAAAAAAATAATAACCACAGGAGCAATACAAAAATTCCCTGTGCTCGCATGAGACTTTTACCTATGGCAGCCTTTCATCTTCATATCGCCATAATCTTGACCCTATCAAGAGGTTCACTCTATATACAGCAGTGCTTCTGATTTTATAATAAATATCTTTAAAAACTTTAAGCCATTTCTATCTATTATCTATCTATTATATATCTATCTAAATGATATCTATCTATCATTTTAATTTATCATTAAAAACTGATAGAAAAGAAGATTATAAACAAAATTTTCTAAGTTTATGTAAAAAGATTTTTTGGAGAGGTCAAAATGTTCCTGCCACACCAACTCCTTTGCATTGCTCAAAGTGAGAGCACAGCCTGGGACTCATAGCACACTACAAATGAAATCATTCATCTGTCCTCTAATGTTAGAAACATGCTGGCTGCACAGTCCGCACAGGCACATCACCATCACTGTACCAATATCGAGGTATGCCTAGAGGAAGGAAGGAATCTGATTATACAGCCAGAGAAGATCTGGTTCAGTTTACTTGACCAGAGACTGCTGGATGAGAATGCAGTTGTTCAGTCTCTGAATTATTTTGAATGGGATATTTTAGAGCTAATAAGACCTGCAAAGTATTTAGGGAATGCAGTGCACTGGGGAGAAAGATACATAATCACCTAATGCCACAGAACAGATTAGCTCCAGAGTTGGACCAGAAGCTGCTCTGTGGAAGCACACAGCACGGAGCTCAAACCAATAAAATCTCCTGGAAGCTGAAGAACTATGCAGAGAGACTCTCCAAAGAGTCACATAGGTGCTGGCCTGACCTGAGTCAGGCAGTAAAGTCTGATCTAATGCATGCCGCCTGTATAGTCAACAACATCCGCGCTGCAAGGCGCTCTGTCATCCAAATTACCTTTAACACCACTGCACATGGGAAATATAAGTTCACACATACTGAACTGTTCTGCTCTTCAAGTCCTCATGCGTGACCTACAAAAGGCAACTGATCACCAGCTTTACTCAGTAGTACTCAACACACAATTAGTGTGTCCCCACGAGTCCACACATCACCTCTGTATGTGACCACCACACCGGTACAGCACAACATCCCCTCACAAGGAACAAACGTTCACCTGTACGTCAGTTGGAATATGTCTTAGGAGCAAGAAATAGCAATGGCTACAAAAACCTTTATTTCTGTATGCTGAAATTTACAACAGAAGTGAACTACAGTTTCTTCTGAAATTACTACAGGGCATTACCACACTTCTCACAGAAAAAAAAAAAACACCAAAAAAAACCCAAACAATTGCTTAGTAAATGGGAAAACTCATTCAAGGGTACCAACTTCCTGTGCTTGGATACAATCTTATTTCCTCCTATTACAATCATTCATATATAGCCAGGCATATGAGCAATCAGCTCTTCTAGCCATCTTACATAGGAACACAAGGGTAAGGAGAGTTTGAAGAACTGAAATACTTCAGGAACATGTACTTCTACAAAATGTATAACACTTAACATACGATAATGTTCATAGCTTGTTTTATATACATACATGCATATTTCCATCCACTACAGTAGTTTTGAATGGTAGCTTTACGTAAAAAAAAAAAAAATCAGCCTTTTATTAGATGTGCCCATGAAGTTTTAAGAGAAGAATAAGTCCTCCCTTCAGCACTACAGACAGCAAGACACGCTACTATTACTTCCTAACATACATATCTTAGGTTACTTGTTGATTTATTCTGGATATTGCAAAAAATTGTTTTCAAGGCAGATATAAAATAAGGTAGAAACAACAACAAAAATTAACTACAATGACAGTGCATCTCCAAGGAGAAAATTCAATATATCTTTAAAATAAGGAAGTCATGAGCTATGATCTGAGAAAGACTCACCTGCTCTTACTGGTCTGCAGAAGAAATCTACTTCTCTTAAACAGAGTACACTAAGCCATTTAAAAATACAAAAAAAAATAAAAATGAGAAAAAAAAGCTTAAAGAGAAAACGTACAAAATACACAAACCAGGAAACAAAATTAAAATAAATTCAAAGATAGACTTGCCTGTTCTTCCTCGCAGCCTCACAGTTTTCTACAGTGTTGGCAGGGGCTATCCATTGCAGCTGAAGTCACTCAAGAT